ATATGATACAAAATAATTGCATTCCATATATATTATTTCATTCTTAAAACTCTAATAGGAAATGTATCATTAAAATAATGTTCTTTTATTTATGGATTTACATAGAGGCTGTCATAATTACTGAAATAATTATTGTACTTCATTTTAACTTAAAAAAACAAAAAGGAAAAGAAAACATTAATATTGTTTGTATGGACGAAAATTTGATAACAGTATAAGAGAAAAGTTTTTAAAATGCGACTAATTTATTGCGAAATTGAATGGATGAAAAAAATAATTCTGTACAAAGTGAAAAATACGAAACATTAGCGTCCGTAAAAGAAATTGAAGTAAAGAAAAGAAAAGAATCGAAAAGAAAAAAAAATCTATATATAAATAAATAAATAACAATAATAATAATATTAATAGATCACATTGTTTGAGGGTTTTATTTCATCGGATATCTTTAGATCATATGTTTCTTTCTCTTTCTCTTTCTATCCTGATATATTCCTTGAACTCATGATTCCGGAAATAATCTACAATCTGTGTATTTGTCCTCACACTCATCGGAGTTCCTCTCGAAGTCTTCTTTAGACGGAAACCAAGCTGTAAACGAACCAATACCATTTGACTTCTTGTTCTTCAATGACTGTTGAACAGATTTGATCACTATGGATGTTTTACATAGTAACAATCTTATGCAGGCAGAATCAAAACCGTCTATTGTGTCCATCAATTTATCTGTAAGTGCATCGTTTCGTGCCTCATCCAACAATATTCTCATCTAAACATAAACGGAAATAATATTGTTTTACAAATTGGATCGATCGAGATGTTTATACGATTATTCCGTTTGGTTTATTTCTTTTTTTTTCTTTTTATTTTCTTTTTCTATTTTTACGAAACGCATCTTAAGATCCGATGCGTGTTAGTTTTATTTTGTATGGTTTTTCTCTTTTTTTTTGGAAATATTTTTATTTTATATAACAGACAACAGTAAAACAACCTTTTTTAAAAAGAATAATTTGAGATACTTAGAAAAAAGAAGAAATAATATTAATTATATAATGTTTGATATTAACTTTATCGTTTTTATTTTCTAGAATGAATTTCAATGGATCCCAGGGGGGGGTTGATTCATCGTTAGATTCATCTTCGACGGATCGATCAACTTTGTCGGTTTTCACTGGTGGTAAGTCGAACAGTGAACTGATCTAAAAAAAAAGACAATTAAAAATATGTTAAAATAAAATATTAATGGAAGATCAGTGACGGAACTACAAATGTTCACGGCCCTGCTCCTCCCTTTCCGTAAAATATAATTTCTTTTTTCAAGATTTTAAATTCGCAAATTCTCTAATTATATATTTTTTGCGTATTTCATTAAAAAATTTTAATTTTCTTACAGTATGATTTATCTTATTTTATTTTTATGACTTACCATTTGTGCTAGAAAAATTACACTGTTAACGGCAATGGCTGCAATCTTTTGCGAATCAAGACCGAATAATCTGAAAAATGCCGATATCAAATTGGTCGGTCGAAAATCTTGATTTTTGTTTGGTTCATCTTCTTCCGGATCTCCGCGTTTTGACGTGTATCTTTTATCATCTGAATTGAAACTTTTAGATACGAGATTGGTAACGTCTTTAACAATTTCCAGATAATCGTTAGCATATCGTAAACCAGTTTTGATTTTATCAAGCATTCCTATTTAATAAATGATTTGAAAAAAGTAATTTGTGTATTATTATTATCATTATCATCTTTTTAATTTATTTGTTGAAGATGTTGAAAAAAAAAAGAAAGATAATAAAGAAAAATTACCATTCGCTTTGGTATAAACAATCGAATCGAAAATGATTAAGATTAAGACAAATTGTAGGATCACTTTAATGCAAAACATTTTAACGCTATGAAGAATATTTCAAGACTGCGATGAGAAATTTTCGTTCTCCGTTGTAACGGGTGTTCAAAAATAATTATCCTGCGCGTTTTAATTGACGTACTCGTCCGCTCTGTTGACCAAGCATTTACAAAAAGAAAAAAAAACGTATAACAGGATGACAAAGAAACAACAACCCGATTTTCACAGTTTCGGTTTGACCACAGTACGCGATGATTTCTAATAGAATTTTTATTTCTTTCATAATTATTTTGTGGAATTTTCAATGTGTAAATTTGTTTGATATTTATCAAGATGAAATTGAAAGTTTGAGCGAGTTACCTATGGATAAATTGATCAAAATCAAATCATCGATTAAACCAATATTGGGTTAGTAATAAACAACAATATATTTTTATCGTAATAAGATAAATGTGCGGTTGAAAATTGAAAAAGAAAACACATTTTAAATAATTAATGAAAAATTTCGACTATTTATAATTTTTAATAATAATAAACAATACATTTCTATATAAAATAATAATAATTAATTAATAAAGAATACATCTCGCACTCTTGTATTACTGTAGATTTTCAAATATTGCAAATGGAGAGAGAAAAATAAATAAAAAATAAATATATAATAAAAAGTGTGTGCACAAATTGAGTATCATTAAAAATGATCTAGATATATTAAATTATTAATCAAATTATTTTGAAAACAACAAAATAATTATATTTCATTAAGTTATTCAAAGTTGAAACTTAAACCACCCCCCTCTCTCCGCACACAACACTTACTGTAATATTTGATTAATCGTTAATTTAATTTTATTTCTTTCCGTAACACTTTTATTATACATACGAAAAAAAAGAAGTTGAAAAAATACAATTAATTCCTATAGAAGATTTTGTTATTAAAAATTAAACGTTTCTTTTTGGCATGGGGGGGGGGAATGAAATTCACACCACACACACACACACCTTCTTTCGTAAATGAAATTAACTCGTTGACAATAATGTGAAATAAATTAATTTCAGAAACATCGATGATGGTTAAGAAATCCGACCAACCGGAAGGAAGAATAAAATCGACATTACCAATAGCCATGCCGTTGAAAAGAAATTACAAATTACCCAAAAGACGTGGCGATCATTACGAAGAAAAAGGGAAGGATACTAAGATATCAAAAATATTTCAATTAGCTGTAACAGCACTTTCGTTCTTGGCATTTGGTGGATATCTTTTGACGTTGATCATAACTGCGATTAGGAGAAATTCGAACACGGCTAATACTGGAAACGTAATCGTATTTTCGGTAAATTTTTAAATCTTTTTATTACTTATCTTTTTTTTTTTATTATTCTTTTTAACACATAAATATATATTTTTGTGTGTTAAACGTCAAATAATCTTGTTTTTCATAGAATTTGCAAAATTCACAAAAGAATCAACGACTCAAGAGGAACCTTTTAATTTATGATCCTATGGAAAATAATTTTCAAACTGACAAACTTTATCAAGGAATGATTATGTTGTCACGTACTTGCGCGCGTTTCGAACGTTAAAAAGAAAAGAGAACAAAATCATTTCTTTTACTCATGCAAAATATTTTTCCACGTCGTATGACAATAATTTTTTTCCGTAAAAAAAAATAAAAAAAGAGGTAGATAAAATAGTATTAAAAGACAGAACAATAAAGGTAATAGTCAAAGATATAAAGTATAATAAGCGCGTGTTCTAAAGTATAAAAGCCATCGGATTGGTGATTTTAATCGACTACTGAATCGAAGCTTTGATTATCACAAATCCGGTGGTGGATCCTCGAAAATCCTAAAACCTAATAAAATCGAATAGAGGACCACGATGTGTACATATCTTCGAAGAATATTCTTGGCGTGTGGGTTGAGGCTGCTTCAAACATGGCTCTTCAAATAAACACCTAAGTGACTGTATACTCTAAAGGCCCACGTAGAAAGATAACCATATGGCTACCACCGGAGGTATCATAGACGTCTCTCTAATATTTTCTTCCTTTTCCTTCTTTTTTTTCTATTCTTTTTTCTTTTTCTTCTTCTTTTTTATTCCAATATCTTCCAATTACGATCATTATAAAAAAAAAAAAAATATATATATATACATTAATATTATTTACAATATTTTTGTATATTTCATTGTTTCAAATATTATTTCACTTATACGAAAGTATCACGCGTATATATGTGCGTTATATTCAAAATTTATCGTTAATAAATAATTTATGATCTTATTATAATTAAATTGATCATTGTTAAGATTGATAGATCATCATTATACTCGTCGTGATTGTTATTATCATCATCATCATCATCATCGGTTTTGGAATAAGAAGGAGTTTTCAAATAAGCCACGCCTACATCACTTTCGTTAACCAATCACAGATAAATTCTGTACGAAGCTGACTTGAAATTTTTCAACTCTTCAAGAAAACCTGGCTTCTCTTACTCTGGCTAAGTTAAGCAAAGCAAAACGTTAGGATTACCCTTATGCACTTTCACTCAGTGATCATAATCATTTCGTGCGTGATTAATACATAGATCGATGTTCATTTAACAAATTAATCGTAATCGTTTTGTTCTGTGTTAAATAGTGATGGAAAAGATTGATCGTTTTTATCGACCTTGTATCATTGTAATTTAATTATTTTAAAACCATGAATACCGAAAATACTAATATCTTAGATAAAGTTAATCGTCCTAAGGTATTGAAATTTGGCGTTGAACGTATTTTGTCCAATGAATTTTCTTCGAAGAGGACAGGTGAGAATATTAATATTTATAAATGATTAATCAGTGTTGGAATTTTTTCATCAGAAAAAATCATATGGAATATAATTATGCAAACGATTTCATTCAATTTGCAAATTTGATTTGTCAAAATGTTACATTTCCTATGCTTATTCTTACTTTCTTTCATTTTTAAAATTATATTTACTTACATATTTTATCGCTTTTGAATAATTTTGCTTTAATAGATATTCTAATGATAGATTTTTTTGAATTATAATATTGAAACTGAAAACATAATATTAATTATTATTGATGTCTATAATTGGATAATATAATTAAAATATAACGCATCAGAAACTGAACAATAATTAGTCAGAGCAATATAAAATTTCCAGATTATATATCATTAATAATAAAAATAATGAGAAAATTATAAATTAATATATATATATAAATAATAAATCAAATAATATTTTTATTCGTAATGTCCAAAGCAATACGTCCAAATCCGACATCGATGATTCCATCTCAAGATATATTGAGACCACTGGCAGTACAATTTTCCACGGTGGCATGTCCTTGTCCCGGAAGTTGTACAAGTTGCGATCTTCGTACAAGTTCCGTTTATCCCTTCAGACAAACTCCAATCGAGACTCAAACAACAATGATTAATTATCAAAGAAATCATTCCGACAATTATGGAAATTTATATCGACCAGCTGCTATCCGTGCTATATCAAGAGGTAAAAAAACTACAATTTATTTTATTACAAAATTTATTATTATTATTTTATTCCTATTTCGCGCCCCTCCTTTTTTCCTACCATTCTTCTTTTTGTATTTTTTATTTTCTTTCTTCCCATCTCTCATCGAAGAAATAAAAATCCCTAATTAAAGTACATCGTGTAAGATCAGGATTACGTCATTAACAAATGCCACCATATGGGTTTGTTTGAACCGTTTTGGTTTTCCTAATAGCACAAGCAGTAAACAAAAAGGAAGGAAAGAAGGAGCAAGGAAGGAAGCAAGCAAGCAACTAGGGCAAAATATTTATGCGCCAATGTATTCTCGTGTTTCCTGTCTGTGTTTAAACGACATCTTAAGTGGCACCGTGCGTTTACAACGCTTATAAACAGCGGTTTAACCGCTTGTCTTTCATAGCTTTATAGTTTCAACCTTTTCGGTGGCATCGATGTGCTTTTCTGCAGCCACTTTTCTACAGAACCAACCAACCCTTCTCCTACCCCCTACCCCTGCCCCTACACTTCCCTGCACCCTCTTACCCCTTCCTCTCTCTCTCTCTCTCTCTCTCATTATATCTTTTTCTCTCTTTTGTTCGAATATAACTGATGTTAGAGAGAAAGAGAGAGAAAAAGAAATGGGAAAAGGAAAAGGGAGAGGGGGGTTGAACTTTAAACATCCTAAGTGGGTTTGAATTAAAGACTTATTTAGACTTTTCTTTTCTTTTTTTTGTTTTTTTTTTCCTTGTTTTATTACATCTTCGAAGAAGAAATAAAAGTTAGAAAGATGAAGGAACGTTTTTTTGTTTGGTGGAAAAATATATTGGACGCGTATGAATTTTTTCTTTTTTTTTTTTTTTTTTTTCGAAGAATACCAATAGGAATCCGAGAATAGGTTATGCGAAATCTTAAAAATATCTATCAGGCGTACGGATATTTTCAGAACTATATGTAAATTTTCGGACGTATTTGTTGTTGCATACTTTTTAATCTCACAAAACACGGATTGTAAATTAAAGCCAAAATTTTTCTAAACTTTATCGATGATACTTTTTTTTCCTTTTCTTTTTTTTGGGTGGCTTCTCTTCTCTCTTTTTGGGAAAGAACATGATTGTACGAAATTATGTTTGTTTTATTTTTTTGTTTGTTTTCTTTTTCCTCCCAGTAACATTTATATCCGTATAATTTGTTTTTTTATTCATTTTATTCAGTGACAACTACGACGGCATCGTCGAATATCGTCAACAACAACATGGAAACGAATGCCAGAAGAAAAAGATCTTGGTCCAGAGCTGTGTTTAGTTCGTTGCAAAGGAAAGGCCTTGAGAGGAGATTTTCATTGCAAAAATATATCACCAAACCCGACAGAAGACAATTGGCTGCTACCTTGGGATTAACAGATGCTCAAGTATATTATTTCATTTTATTTCTTTATTTTTTTTTTAAACGATCAAATTATTCTCAATCATTTTATCGTCATATCTTTTCAGGTCAAAGTTTGGTTTCAAAATCGTCGAATGAAATGGCGGCACACCAAGCAAGGTGAAAACAATAATTCATCTATAGCCGATCCGGACTCGACTCAAAAAGAAATCCCAACAAAAATTGTACAAAACGCGACGACAACAAAAATTGTCGAAGGAAAAACCACTCTTTCCGAAGACGAGGAAGATATCGAGATACAAGTTGACGTATAATAATAATAACTATAATCGGAACAATTATTTGTTACGATGAACATTTTTTTCTAATCTTTTTAGACTTTTATTTCGACCAATTTAAGGGTCGTACGTCTTAACGATACGAAAACATTTCCTAAGAAAAGGATTAATTTAACGTAATAGAAAATAAATAATAATTAATGATTTTGAATTAGAAAAAAAAGAAGATTAGAAAAAGTATGAAAAAAATAAAATTTTATTGCAGCTCTTTCTTTCTCTTTTTTTTTTAAATGTAATTTAAAAATATTAACACAGATCGATGTAAATATATGGTTTTTTTATAATCGTGTATGAGGTGTTGTCTATCACCAAGAAGCACGTGGTAAGCTCGCTAATTTTATCACTAGATCTCATGGCCTGTATAAAATATTGCATATACCAAGGGGCACACGGTTAGATCATATAACATGTATAAAGTATTATTTACCACCAAGGAGCACACTTCTAAAATTCATTTCCTGATCTATCCTTACATGGTTACATTGATCTATACAGACGATATTAATTTATAAAATCTCGATCTTAATAGAAAATATCATTAATTTTCGTTTTGAAGGACGCAATTAATTGTTTCTAACAAATCGACAGGTTGATCTTGGGTAGATATTAAATTATAAATACATTTTTCTTTAGTTTCGATTATAAAATCTTCCAAGACAGTTTTTAACATTTCCAGATCAAAAAAACAATGATTTTTACCATATTCGTATTTATCAAAGGAAATCGTTTTAATTCCTTTAGTAATAAAATCTAAACGTTTCTCAGCAATGAAAGATAAGAAAGAATAAAATTGTCCGTAATTCATACCATGAGAAACTTCCATTATTACTTGACAATGTTTATCCCAATCAATCATATCCTTAACATCATCGACTTCTTTCATGACGGAAGACAAATGTTCTTTTAAATCCAGCCATACGGCGTTTATGTTACATCCATTGATCCAATTGTGATTAATAGAAATAGTATCTTCCTATTGAACGACACTTGACTTGTTTACAAAATAATTCTAAACGATTTGCATATATATGTATGTATAGAAAAATGCTTACCAAATTCCAGACTTGATGATGCCATCCAGATGGAACAAACATAATTTCACCAGGTTCTTGTATTACCTCTATACATTTAAGATTGTTGTCATCGTAATCTTTGTATTTAATACGATCCTTAAGATCATCAGAAAATACGTCGTACACCAATTCACCGCGCACGTCACGAAATTGATTTTCTTCTTTTGGCGGAATGAGCAACCAACGTTTTCTACCAACGATATTGGCAGACCAACTGTACGATTGGAAGACGTCTTTGTGCAACGGCGTCCTGAAAAATAAAAACCCAATCATTAATTAAGAGAAAATGATGTTATAAGAAAAATAAAATTTATTATTTAATTTACCATGTCCCTTTCGGACCCATATAAACAAACATATAATCATCATTTAATTCCGGCTTAGCGATGTAATACTCGTTCAACCAATCAGAAGCAAAGTAATAAGGTACTTCGTAATAAACTAAATTGGCGAATTCTTTAGCGCAGTGCCAATCCTTCAGATACAAAAGCGGCATATCGGCAATATAATTATTCCTTCTATATTTAACCCAATAATCTATATACTCTTGCATATTCATGCTGACCCTAAGCTGAGAATTGTAATGTTTTACTCGACAATTGTATATCGGTACTGTTGCTTGACCTGTTAAATGATTAACAAAAAACCACTTTAGAAATTATGAAATATTACGATTTAAACAAATAGATCATATATCAATTATTATATTTATAATAAAAAAATATAAATAAGAGAATAATATTATTCTTAAAAAAATAATATATATTTTGTAGGTTTATTTTTATTTGTAAAAAAACATTGAATAACGTTTACCGAACTGTCCGACGAAATATTCAAAATTTGGCGCGTCTTTTGATACCCACTGGTGCCTAGATGGCCAACAATTGGTAATCGTTGAATCAAAGATGCATGGTTGATTGTTAATTAAATAATTATGAAAAAATTCGTTATACGTTAATTTATGATCCACCTTTTTCACCGATTCAATCTTTGAAAGATTTTCATTATTTACAAGTATTTCACTTTTCGTTATTTCGATTACTTTCAACATTATTTACATCACACTCGTTCGATTAATATTAGGAATTATTGTAATAGATATCCATCTATAAAGAGAAATAATATTAAAAATTTTAAAAAACATATGTATAAATATATTCTTAAAAAATAAAGAAATATTAAATTAACTTATAATATAAATAACGAAACATATATATATATATATATATAAAGAAACAATACCCAAACGCAAGGACCACTTTTTTCTTGACGTTATTAATTTTGATAAATGCACAGTCAACAACGACAAGGATGAATTAGCAAACATTTTGAACAGTGACTGCACGATGCACCAAAAGTTGAATTTTTTAACAGATAAATGTTTATATACCTGATATATATATTTATTATACTAAATTCCAATAAGAGAAAATAAGAAAATTGATCGAAGTAAATAAAAGGTTAGAATAGAAATGAATGATCAGACGATAGCGCAAGACTCGCCAACACCACCGCCATCTGGCAATGAATTATTTTTAGACGGCGAATTATTAAATTTCACTACTAACTTGTTCAAAACTATCTTTCAAAGTTCGAATTAATAATAAAACAATTTAAAAACATGTTCTACACTTTAATTGAAAACGATATCGATCGTTGGTATATATCAGAATCTATCTAACAATTATCTTTACCCTAGGAATAAAATTACTCATTAAATTCCACTCACAAAGCGTCAATGTATCGTTAAAAATGTATCTAGGGATAATTAGCAAAAGGTATCAATTTTCTTAGATCGCGTTTTGATGTCTGGAATAGCAAATTAAATAATAACGATGGTATAGATACGATACGTGTTTGAATAGAGTGTAGAATGAATTTTAAATATAAG